CACACACACACACACACACACACACACACACACACACACACACACACACACACACACACACACACACACACACACACACACACATACTAGAGCCAATGGAGTTAATACAGCTGGAGGAACCTGATAGAAATAGTCAAGACCGTAGCGAATCACGGCCAGCTGTGCAATCTGTAGAACGGAATGAACCACCCCCTGCTGCACAACCTGTAGAATCATATGATGTCATAGTGCTACAGCGCAGCTGCTGTGCGTGCTATGCCATTAATGTATGCCTCCTTGCTTACAATTGCGATCCTTATACTGTATCTGATTTTGCAGACGTTGTCTGCTGGATAGAAGAGAGCACCGTGCTATCTGCCCGTATGACGACGGTAGAACACCTGGCTTGAACATAGTTCTCTCTATGGCATTTATGGGCAGGCAACTACAATTACAGCCTGCCCCACATAATCACGTGCCAGGCATGGATCCAAATATTCGTGCATACATCCTACATCGTCGAAGTAATTTCAGGGCTGTTACCTTTGTGGATAATTCATGGACTCTATGGGACAATGGCATTAGGGTGCACACAGTGGGGAACATCAACACTTTCTATTGTCAAGCGGTAGAACATGACTCGGTCTGGCTCGCCCGTCAAGAACACTATGTCGATGTGTACACGCAAGTTCTACAGCCGGCGGAGAGCGATCCGGCTGAACCGCCTCGTTCCCGTGTGCATGGCCAGGCAGCCTTCCCTGTGTAGATTGGACGGATTCTGCTATGGACGGTGAAGGGGCCTCCCCACAGGACGATGGCTGTGCCATCCCATTCTGTCGTCACAGAACTACAGTTTTGTTGGCATGCACACGGGATGGTCTATGCTCCGAACACTATGAAGGGATGGTGTGGCATACTGCGTAGCCACACGGGCCCTACAGGGCCCGTCCCGGACATTCAGCCTAAAAGCCTAAAACTTAGGCTGAAATGAACTCATTTCAGCCTGGATGCTGAAAAACGAGGGCCTGCAGGCCCTACCTCGTTTCAGCCTATTTCTGGATCTTTTCAGACCCAGAGTTTTCAGCCTGAAACGGAGGGCCAATTTCAGGCCCTCGTTGTTTCGACCTGCTCCTAAGACTCARGCACGGAAACAGGGATGCGGAACAGGCCCAAAATAGCCTGTTCCTCACGTACTCGAGCAGGAGCTGCAGCTGCAGCCCCTGCCTCCCTTCGGCAGGCTCAAGAGGCACACCCGTAGTACATAGGAGGTTCCCATGCACTTCACGGGTAGGTAGTGTCAGTAGGCGGGGGTAGTCTTCAGGATTCGGCCGCAGCACTCAGGAGGAGCGCTGCAGTAGTCTTCAGCGCTAGGCAGTAGTGGTAGCGCTAGCTGTAGTCTTCGGCGCTGGGCGCCATAGCTGCAGCTGTAGTCTTCAGCGCTGGGCGCTGGTAGGTAATAGATCGTAGAGTGGGAGAGAGACTGGCGGAGGCCAGTGTTACTTACCTGTGGCGCCATCGCTCCAGCTCCATCTTCGTGGTACCTCATCAAGGCGCCAACTTCACAGGTTAGTACTGGACACAGAGAGAGAGAGAGTTCTTCTTCTTCCTCTTCTAAGTCCACCTTCTCTTCTCACCCTCTCGCCACCTGACTTCTCAGACTACGACAGAGAGAGACAGAGTTGTGACTT